AGAAGTGTTCGATTTATTCTACTAACAAGGAATTCCAAAGACAATGCAATTTAAGCCAAACGGAAGCAGATGACTGCAAGTGAACGCATTGTAGTTTGAATTCGTAATTAGCCAGCAATCAAGTACAAAAGAATCATTAGTTCGTACAAATACCACAGTAAAGCTAAGCAGTAAAATAATTTCGTACTTATCAATATCAATCAAGATTTAGTAAAAATGTCTAGTGATGTCCTTGTAATCTGTCATTACGATTACTATTGTTATCATTTTGATATGATCTATGATACATATACATCATAATAACAACCTGCAGTTGTAAGTAAGTGACATGTAGGGCCACTGAAATGTTACCGAGCCATAGCCGAATCATTCTGCAGTTCACCGATCCTCGACCAAAACAGGGACAAGAACCCATGCGGTGTTAATCACACTTTCGCTTGTATCTACTCTAAATTATAAATTTCTGTAGTAACGTCCTTTGTGTTATATGGTCTTGAAAGCAGCAACAGTACCCTGATACAGTGAAGGGGTAAAACACGTTAGGTGCTGACCGCGAGATGTGACTTTTAATTTAGCGGTTTGTCACACTATTTCCATCTAACTGGAGTAGGCCATCGATCACTTGACAAAAATCATCTACGTTGATGATCTACAGGCGATTATTTGACGATACTGTCTATCTGATTTGCTGTTTGACATGCATCTCATGATTTCACTGATAAGCACGCAGCTAGTAAACGTAAATATTTCATCTTTGAATATTAATAAGTATTTACTAATGGTAATCCGCCGCTGGATAAATGTTGAGAAAATCTGGTAGATGACAATCTTGAGTTCAATAATAGTTAACACTCAACTCATCAAAAGCTATATGAAACATGTTTTATATGTTGGGTTAATTACCTAAATATAAGAAATAAAAAATCTAAGGTGTAAGGGAAGATACAGTGAATATCACATGATGCGAAAAAAAATTATGCTAAGCGTCTCAATCTGATGCATTGTATACCAAGATATTACCACATATCATCCATTAATCCTCTGTTGTATGTGATATAACTGAATAATGCTATTAGTGACTATGATAATTAGAAGTATTTGAATTATAGTACCGACTAGGTATCCCAGAAATAGCGCCACTGGGATCAAGAAGTAATAGATTGGCTCAAACGAATGTACTGTATTTGGAATGCGAAATCATGAATTCAACAAGCAAAAAAGAATCGTTATTTCATATAAACACCACATCCGCCATAACGGAAATTAGACTCTAGGTGTCCATAGTCGATTGAGCGTATTCTTCTTAAATTCATCCTGTGTCTGTCAGAAAGTGTATTAAATAAAGTCTCTGTACTATCTACAATTTACTCATTAGTATAACAATTAACAACCAAAGTTCGAACAAGAGTGCCTGGTTCCCGGTATTGTATTTGATCAACATGTCGGTTGTGTATACTTAAGCCATTAATATCTAGGATTTGCACCATAGATTTCCCGACATTCTTCATCACAATCTCCGCGGCTGGTCGAATATAATTTCCACGATAATACGTAACTTCTTCAGACCAAAACACTTCATATTCGAACGAAGAATTTTTCCTTTTAATAGCTTTTATGGAGTCTCATGACTGAATGTTTAGCATTTTCACATTGCAGTAGAAATGTATCTACTCTCCTCACCAGTCCGTCAAATGTTGAAACAACAGTTTCCAATTTCCTGACGAAACTCTATGCCTGACTATTAGAACAACAGATGTCTACATCCTATACCATTCAACCAGGCAGTGACTGCTTCCGCAGCAAATTGGTAGCGATTATCAGTCACTAACACCATACGAACCCCTTCCCGACCAAAAAATCTTCTTAACGCTTGGATTGTAAAGTTAGAAGTTGGTGAAGTTTTGACAAAACTTCAGGCCACTTCAAGAAAGAATCAATCACTACAAGTGCATAGTATTTGTCAAGAAATGGACCACAGTAGTCTGAAAGAATCCTCAGACGGTGCTGGCTGTAGTGTCCACTTTGAAGGCTGAATTCCCACAATTGAACAGATTCACGTAATGAAGGAGGAACAACAACATGATCAATGAGACAAAAACCACCATCAGTGGTATTGGATAAGTCATCCCTCTTTAAAAATTGACTGGAAATTCACATTTCAGTTTGGCACTCGTACCTTTCGATATAGCACTGAATATACATCTAGAGTACCGACGAGTTTCACTAATGAGATTTGGACGTATTACCGGTAAAGGTTGCACTAACAAACAGTCTTGAGTACTAACAGGTTTGTCTCGTAATGATTGTCGAGAAATATAGTCAACTTGTTAAATTTGTTTGGCACTCCTGTGCTGAACCGTTTAGTCATAGGCACTCAAAGAAATAATCCATCGTTCAACCATAGCAGCTGGGGAATGTGTTAAGGATTTGTCAAGGTGAAAAATAAAGTTTAAAGCTTCATGACCAGTAACGACGGTGAATCTCTTTCCGAATAAATATTTATGAAGTCTTTTAACAGCCAAAAACACAGATAATGCTTATTGCTGAGTTTGTGAATAATCTTGTTTAGTAATAGTATGTCTGCGTGAAACACAGATAACCGGCCTAATTTCCTGCTCCGAAACCCACAGGTCATGCGTCAGTAATAAGCACAGAACGTACACTAGGGATTAACTTCGAAGAACAGCATAACCTTGAAGAAACTTGAATAGACTTTCTAGGCATAACTCTTGTTCCCCACCCCATTCGAATGAATCGGATGTCAAAATATTGAAAGAACAATCGGCACGACAATAAAAGCTAAGAATAAAAAGGGAATAGTATTGAAGAGCACCTACTAATTAACGTAGTTCTGTAAGATTTTTGGAAATGGTGCATTTGCCAGCGGAGCTAGTAGTTTCGAACCAGGTCTTAAACCATTATCGCCAACTAGGTATCCAAGACATTCAAAACCAGATACACAAAATGTACACTTATTTGTATTCACCTCAATGATCTCAAACAAACGACGCAATAAATCAATAAGTCTCTGATCATAAACTACCATATCAGAACCATGAACAATGAGATCAACTTGATAAATTTCAAAACATTCAAGATCACTGACTACCTGATTTATCACTTCGGTGAGGATTGGTCTAAAAGGATTTGAAGTTAAGCAGCTCTTAAGTCAGCTTTTGAGAACACTTTAAAATCACGAAGCCGATTTAGAATATCTTCAGACTTCTCCTTTGTGCATGTTTGCTTCAACAAACGGGAGTTCAATGTTAATCTATGGTCGCCACATATTCTGGAGGTCTTGCCGTCCGATCTTCAATGGCATAACAATAAGTGCACCACATGCTAAGAATGAATCGGCACGATTATATTTTTTTGCAGTATTTCAATAAAAAACAAAGTAATCAATAACCGTATACATGATAAAGGTAAATTGACTAACTTGAATTCAAAGAAATATTTTTAAGAATGAAAGTTACTGACTATTTTATTTTATTTGAGCACACAAATATTGGTACAAGAGGGCACCAAATATATATGCGCCACACAGGTCTCATTTGATATGTGTGAGGGCTGTGATACTGCCCGGGTTCCCAAACCGAAGCAGGTGGTTTTCTTAGGCGGCCACACCCCAAGCCTTCGACCTGAACGTCTGATCCACAAGGCAGTGGGGCATCGTGAGGAGATGCAGTCTCATGGTAGCCGGTGACCAACGATTGGTTCATATGCCATTTGTTCCTTCAGGATACTGGAGCCCATGTGCACCATTGTTAAGCATAACACATTACAATATCTAGCGTAAGCATCAGAATCACCGGCAGATGCAAACTATATTCATCAGATCATCGTCAACGTTGCCTGCATGGTAAACGATGTTGAATAGAAGACAGTTAAGCAACATCGTAAAGTAATTCCCATACCCACACTACCAACTACGTCGAGTATCATCGCCAAACCCACACCTCATCTCAACTCATGTTAGTGCGCAACATGGAAAGGAAAAGGTATTCTCAGTTCCTCACTGATTTGTAGGTAGATACGAGTGTCGGTAATCAAGAAGACCTCATTCGACAACTAACATGTAATTATCGCAAACCGATTTGGCAAACAAACCATGCTATCGCACACGACAATAAAACCAGAGACAAAACACAACGACAATGAACATATAGCTTGGGATATGGGTTAATTGGAGACCGCTGCAATGTCATTTGATGATATACACTATCATCAATTGCAACGAATTTCGGTGACTATGTACATCAGTACTGCTTCTTTTTCTCCTCTCATATCAACACATCTACTTCGACTTCATTGAATTATCTTTGAATGACTAACAGTCATGGTATTTTTCATTTATGTACAAATCTATCCCAACACCCTGTTATTTTCATTACAGACGTTCACTGTCGAATTAGTTATTTGTTTAACCTATTGATCATAATTTAAGGTTCGGTCTTATTGATTTCCTATAGAAATCTAGTAAATTAGCATGAATGACTGGAATTGCAATCCAGTCAGAATTGTGTTAGCTGCTGTCTACACTTCATACATTAAACAGTTGTGCATCGTTTGGAGTTACTCCCAATTTTTCAAGGACTGTTGTCTTGTGATGAAAACTGTGTGCAAATATATTCTAATGACAATCATACTGTAGCAGTAAATAAATCCCCAAAATAAATAGCTCTGTAAGTTTTCGATATTGGATGCTGACCAGTTTTAATGTACTCATCTAGCTGAAGGCGCTCGGTCAAGCATTCGCACTAGATCACGTGTGCGAACGCCATGCTTAACATCTGCCGCAATCACTAGCCAGATTAGTTCATGCGATCCACGATATACTGATAGCTTATCAAATATAACTTTGATCTCCTCGCTTCTGTCTTTTGATTTCACTTGGTGGGCACGATTCATATTAGGTGTTACTGGTTAAAGCGTTGTCAAACTCCGAATACCTGTGGCATCTTCAATACCAATCGAATGTGGTGTGAAAATGAAAAAGTCCAACGCAGAAAGAATAATATACTCATTTCTTGTACAAAAAAGGTGTATAAATATATACATGATCCATATAAATTTATTCAGTCTGTTATTGAGATAGTTTTCAAAATATGTTCAGACATCGATATAACAATAAACCAGGAAACATATTGTCCAAAATGACGCCAAATCGACGCAAATTTTAATAGGACAACATTATCATTACCTTGAACAATAGTATTCACTTGGAAATAATGCGAAGTGCTAGGTAATATAATTTTTACTAAATATTTTCGAATGCTTGAATCACGTTCAATTTGATTGATTAGTCCATTTATTTCAAAGGGCAATACTTCGTATAAGTAAGTTCCACATAACTTTCGTTGTTGTGTTCGTTGTTTTAATGATGTTGATGGATATGATCGAGTTGAATTTAAAGTAAACAAACTGTTATCATCTTCTAGTGTAGAATCACTTTTTATCTTTACAGATGAGTTCAATGTCGATTGGCATGTGGCATACTGCTGGTAAATTGATTCATTTTGACTTAGTTTTCTCAAAGCATTCAATTGATCTAGCTAAAAAAATTTCAACAAGAATTTATTAATGAAACAAATCAGCGTTGAATGGATATCGACAAATTACCATATACATAATAAACCAAAGATGGCTTATTATTATTATACAACTAAAGACGATGATGGAAATAACTTACATTGTCAATTCGATACCAGTTGAAATAGCGACCTTTAGAATTTTCGCGTGAGATTTAAAACCCGTTGACGGGTGACCTGTGCATTAATGAAAACAAATTATCCTCTTACTCTAACCGTATTCCTAACGCTAAAAAATCATAGATTATAAACTTAGCTACTTCATGTTTACTGTAATAAATCATTCAATATGTAAAGGTTCATAAACCATGTGATAACTATTTATCGACTTCCGTTTCAACAGTTATTGATCAGAAATTGTTTTATAAATAGACACTGGCTTCTCGTTGGTTGATAGGTCATTCAAGATTGACGGTATAGTTTAGATCTCCTGACACATCATCTATTTGACCTATATATCACCACAAGTAGAACTATGCTTTGTAGAGTTTAACGTTTTAACAATTATTTGGTCAGCAGCTTCAGTAATGCAGAACGAAAAAAACCATTTTGTTTCGGACAATCGACATGAGTTAATAGGTCAATCAACGGATATCCTATGTATCTTTTCTGTTATTGTATCGTGTATTGACAAATATTGATGAGCGTTTTCAAAAAAAGGCACAGCAAAACAAGGGACAATGATGTATTAGTTTCAGTTTAGTGTGGAATTTCGTTTACCACTCGTCCTGAAAACCGTTATTAGATAACTCCCAACGGTATAAAAATTTCAGAAGACAATACGAAGCAATGACTACAGCTTATGATCGGTCAGCATGGATCACAAAGCCACCATGATGGGAATACCAACGAGGAAGAACGAATGTATGAATAGGCCAACATTTGAGCTAGTAAGAAGAATATATGTGTAGGCTTTAACACAGGATTAAGCATACATGATAATAAACGCATGGGGATAGTAGCGGAAAGATGTAAGCAAATTGTTAACAAATTTCCTATTATGAAACTGAAGTCCTTACTCTAGTTATTGTAGTATGACAGAGAAGAATAGAAGTCGTCGCGTTTATCCTATTGAAGTTAGAGTTGAAAAACAGTATGAATATATCACTACACAATGAATAGTAGTGTGAAAATTTTAAGTGAAACTGTAAAAAATGCGTCAGAAATATGATGTTTTCGGGACATCTAATAGGTTGGAAAACGATTAACGGAAAGTGATGTAGACCATATAAATAAATAAAGAAAACCGATGCAATACTATGACGAAAAAAAGCAATCCGAAAACAAAAACACTAACCATAGACTTTAGCTGTACACCACAATCTTCCATATTTTTTATACATTCATTTAGTTTATCATAATAGGTTTCCAAAATTTGACCATCACGAAGTTTTGTCATTTGTTCTAAATTATCATTTAAATATAGATTACACAATCCATAAGTGACAAAATCATCATGATTCTCAAAGGATGATGAACCTGTGAGAAAATTTAACATACGAAACAAAACTTTTAAAACTTACACTTTTTAATTTTATTAACCACTGTTTAATAAGTAGTATTTCTCTTTCTATGAAATTTTAATTTCATGATTCTTTGGAAAATCGGTTGTTCAGTAAGACACATGAAAAAGTCCAAATAAAATAGGAGTAATTCATAGAGATGTACGTCAGTAAATTGGTTAAACTTTTCATACCAACATCAGAAACGAAAGAAAAAATATGGTAAAAACCTCTTTTTGATTAACTATTCGCTATAATTGATTCCTACTGACGATAATGACTAGCCTTATATTTACAGGGTTAGAAAAACGATCAATTTAGTTAAAAGTTTCTTTTAGAGGTGGGATATTAACTGTAAATTTACAGGAAACTGAGAGTTCATGATTGGTGCATGCGAGTTAGTTCCCACTGACAAGTATTCTGAAGTACAACCAACAGAGATATATAGTTTAGATAACAGCGTTTCAACTGAAAATTATACTATCCACGACAAGTCAAGTCAATAGTGATAAGAAACCAGAGGGAAAAACACTAAATATTGCTTGTAATACGTGACTCAGAGCCTAAATTATGAAAAAATAAACATTAACCTTTAAAAAATTAAAGAAAGTTCATGTACATGTGATGTAAGTTTCAGTAAGTAGATAAAAAGGTTAGTACAAGCTAATTCTTAAAGGTGAATGTATTGTGCAACAAGCCTCTATGTATTGATCAATGACTGTAAAGCATGGGCTATGAAAGTACGAAATTTGAGTAAGCCACAAATATTTGATAATTGGTGTCTCTAAAGCATTGCTGGGAAATGGTGGAACCACTTAGAGAGTCCGTCAGTCAGCTACAACGTAGGACCAGGCACGTATATGCATCGGTCCAAGTTGCCATACCGCATTAGCACAACAAGATGAACACCAGATTCATAGAAGTAGTTAATTTAGTAGTGGTAATATATAGAAGAAAGATTGCATATAAAGAGATAATACAGGAAGAAAGAATTAGTTCCTAGAAAGAAAGATATGAAGTGATTTTAATCTCTTAGTTTGAAGGAAGACAAAGAACATATACACCAACGCCATTGTGATCAATTCCGAGCCATGTCACCAAGAGCCTTTAACCATTGGTTACGATAGTCACGAGGACCGCAACCAGGTAGTCTGCATCTACCAACATGTCTCAGACCAGAAGTTAGTGACCTCGAACACTGATGCCACGCTTTGGTTTGGCCGCCCCTAACTTAATTCCAACCATTCTCAGCACTATTCAGCATTGCGCGTCGTGGTGATCGGTGTTCAGGCATACGCAACACGTGGCCCAACCATCTCAGTCGATGAAGATTCATAACCTGATCAACTGATTTACCATCATTCCCTAGTACCCTGCGTGTAACCTCACTATTACTCACCTGGTGATCCCAGCAGATACCCGCAATATTTCTAAGGCATCTGTGGTCAAATACTAGTAATTTACGAGTATCTTCTACTCTTAAAGGCCATGTTTCGCATCCGTATAGTAGAACGGAACGAACTGCCGCGCAGTATATTCGTTTCTTAATTGATAGACAGATATCTCGCCTTCACCATAGGTGACGTAATTTGACAAAAGCCAGACGAGCTTTTCGAATCCGTGCTGAGATTTCGTCAGACACCAACCTATTAGGGCTGATCAGACTTCCAAGATAAGTGAAGTTGTCAACGCGTTCGACTACTTTACTCCCTATCCTTAGTTCAGGTGTTGACGCAGACCAGTCCTGAAGCAATAACTTGCATTTAGAGGGAGAGGAGCGCATCCCAAAATATGACTCAAGTAGAATAAATAGATTGGCCTGTTCGAAAGCTAGAATAAGATATATGGACTTAACATAATAACCGACACTACAAGATATAAGTAATGTGTATCAAGAGTTGGAGGTAGGATTCTTATTGACAGAAGAGGAACATGAGAAGAGAGAGAAAAGCAGAAGCAGTTCGAGTAGCAGCAGGAATGAAAGAACGATGGAACTTGTAAGAGATAATTTAAGGAAGATGTACAAATGGTGTATTCAATGTATCGTTTTCATACTTTATAAATGAAGTGTGTGATTTTGCGTAATATAGTAAATTGGATTAATCTAACCAAGTTTTCATTCATTACACCACCGAACTGAATACTTAGTCGATATGCTACACACAGACTGCACGATGTTATACAAGAAAAACAATTCACGACTAAGAATAGAGGCCCAGAGTATAGACTAGATAATATTTTATTCACCACACAAGAAGTCGACATTCAATAAGTAGAAAGCAATGATAGAAAAGAAATATATTAAGGAGTTAGCAATCTGAGTGTCTGTTCATTCACATCCAGTAGCTAATCAAATCTTGCTTCACTGATCGCTCATCAGTTTTGGTTATAACTGATTGATATATGGAGAGTTATAAGTTACTTGTTGAGTATTATACCATTTTGAAATTCTCCAACATCCTAGTCAGGGCCCTTTATGATCACATTGTCAACTTCAAAAGGCAAGATGTGTGGCTTTCGATTTTATTCGATCTAAATCTGAGGCAAAGTATTGCCTTAATGTGGAATTACTTACTCAGAACTTTTGCGACTAATGTAACGTCATGAAGGGATAAACGATGCCAACGTAAGTTACATCAGTTCTACCGATAATTAGAAAACCTAAATATGACCTTAATTTAAGGATGAATCGGGAAGATATGACTGCCAAAACAAATGAATTCCTACCATAGATTCCGAGAAATATTGATGTGGATTGACGCAAACCAAGTCTCATGTCAAAACGGTTAGAATCTACTGGAAAAATCTAAAACTTAAACTGTATAGATCCTGATTAGGTTAGGACAAAAATACTTAGGTGTAATACAAAGTACGATTCAAAATGGAATATTTATGATGTGGTCAAACTTACCTGATAGGATTTTACAAATATGTGTAGCCAGATTTGTGAAAACAATACATGACTGGTGAAAATTTGTGTTCCATTTCTTTTTCAAAGGAAGAATTTTATTTAATAAATTTGTTAGGCGTTCATTTATTGAAAACGAGATCCTCGATTCCTAAGTGTTAAAAAAGAATAAACAACACATTATTTTAGAATTTGACAGTCCTACGAGGTTAACAAATTTTAGGCAGCTATTCTCTTAATTATACCTGTATTAATACATACTAGTAGTTCCTTTAGAGATCGAAAACATGACAGAAAAATACCGAAAATAGAATTCTGTTTTTGTTATTTGAATTTAATGTACACACATGTAACGTCAAAGTTGCTCATTAGTGATTTGATGTGTACACAGAAATGTAAGCTTTGTGGTTAGGTTACGTAAGGCAACTAAAATCGAATTTTAGAGACTTCGCCACTTTTTTTCTAAACAGTTTGTCATTTTATTTAAGCTTTAAATTTTTAGCTGACTTAAGTATTTTCTTCTTCAAATCATTTCATTCCCAAAATGAATTTAAATTTTTTTATTGCTGTGACCTGAGCGCTGAGTTATGCAGGACGTATTTCAGTGAAAACAGAAATTAACATGTTGATTGAATAAGTATTGAAATTTGGGGGAAGAGTATAGTGATTTAGTTATTCACCACTGCATACCTTAATATCATTCCCAGTGGGATTCAGAACACATATCTTTTTCCATTACAGACTTGTTAGTTAGATGTGCCTGGATCTCAGCGTATCGATTTTCCAGACCAAACCTGAAATGAACACTCAACAGTTTCATCATTATAGCATTTTATACAAAACCTCCTACCCTTCAGGTTTTTGAACTTTCCTTTCTTTAAATGTACTCAAGATGTTATGTCACTATAAAATAGCAATAGAAGGTGGCTCAATTATGTGTCAACACTTTAGGCTGTTGAAAGACTAAGTGGATCTTTTACTCCTTCAAACTTTAATTCATACTGTAGCATGATCTGAATAATCCAGCCTCTGTCAGGGAAGTCCTACTCACTGCCTTCTCGTGGCGGGGGTGTTGTTTACGAAGTTGAGAGGACGAAAAGCGAATGTTCGGCGCTTTAACCGGAACCCAAACCAATGGTGCACATGGGCTCCAGTATCCTGAGGGAACAAATGGCGTATGAACCAATTTCTTGGTCGCCGGCTACCATGGAACTGCATTTCCTTTCGATGCTTCACTACCTTGTGGTTTAGACCTTTAGGTCGAAGGCTCGGGGTGTGGTCCCCTAAGAAAACCACTTGCTTCGGTCTGGGCACCCGGGCAGTATCACAGCCTACACACAAATTTAATGGAAATGATGACATCCACTGAAAACTCTATTCTCGCTTCGATTTACAGTCAAACAATTCACATTATTATTATTATTATTATTATTATTATTATTATTTACCACGTCATTTGTTCACTCTCTTATTCCCACTCTGTGTATCCTTATTTTTCAAGTTATACAGCAGCTCGTCTACGGTGAAAATTCGGTTCTATCTAAACGTTCTCGAGTCACTGCCTGGTTGAAAATTGTATGCTACCACCGAATACGAATACTGAAACAGTTTTTCTGAAACCATGTGCACCTTTCAAACTGGCTTCCTTCAACGTCCGCATACTTATTCAGGTCGGACAACAGATAGGGTTGGTTATGTCTTTAAAGTCTTAATATCTACGGCTGTTGTCTATCCGAGACCTGTATTCAAGATTAGTGAAGTGCCACAAATTCGCTCTCCATCTGTTACTTCGAAAAGCTTGTTTTACGTGCATTTATTCGGGGACGCTGTGGCATATTCATCCGCTTTTGCTGGCGTTGGTGTCTGACTAAGAGCTAGAGCTGAGGCAGCCCTGATCAATTGGGTCCCCATTAACGGTCGATTATGTGCTTTAAGATTATAAAGTCCCATCAAAGTAAGAAGTCCTACTCACTGTCTTGTCGTGGCGTGAGTGTTGTTTACGAAGTTGAGAGGACCGTCTACTGCAACTGTGCACAGACCACAACCTGTTTCTGGTTAGCACTAACTTCCGGCACAGTCATCGGCGATGTGTCACATGGCGTCCTTCCTCTGCATCCCAATCATGGACTCGGACCGATCACATCACGATCAGCTACCACTGGCGTGGTTGTGTATAAGACTGCTGCTCCTTTCGGAGTACCTATCTGGAATCTGATCATGCCCTGGTCTGCACCAATCTCACCTTACTTTTCAGTGACCAACAAAGTGACCGCCACCAAATGATTGACGTTAGCAAGCTGGTTGCAACTTCTGTTGCTAGTAAGTATCGAACCGAGCTAGCTTCTAGGCTAGCTACCATCCCACCGAAAAATATATGAGTATTGTTTGAAACTGCATGACGCCATCAGAATGGCGAGTAAAGCAGCTTCACGAAACGTCCCGCTTGTAAGCACCGGGTTTCTTCAGGCTCCTTACACTTCATCGAAGCCCGTCGGTCTACTCCGGGTGACCGTGAGTTTGACCACAAACGAAGGATGTTACGTAATGAAATTGGGCAAAGTTTGCTCAACGACCGAGAAGCCTGGTGGTCGGAGCGTGCTAATGTGTTGGAAGCAGCAGCTGCATCTGGTAACTACCAGAAGCTCTTCCAACTCACCCGAGCCACTGGCAGCAAGACGTCTGGTGTAAGAGAATTAGTCTGTGAAGATGCCGATGTCTTGGACGAATTGCAGAATCCTTCGAAGGGCAGTCCAACTGGCCTGCTGCTCCGGCAACATCGGTCAGACTGTCCTGCCCTCCATGGCCGGTGACGACTGATCCACCAAATGAGGCGGAAGTCCGCAAGGAACTCCAACTCTTGGAACGCTACAAGTCACCGGGCCCAGATGACTTACCTCTGGCTCTTTTTAAAGATGGTGGTGACTTTCTGACTAAGGAGCCGACGACGCTGTTTACAAAGGTCTGGGAGCAATAGAGTGTACCAACGTCATGGAATCAGTCGATAGCTGTCTCTATCTTTAAAAAGGGTTCATGTCGTTCCTGTAACAACTATCAGGGATAGGTCTACTTCCGATTGCGCCCGAACTAGTGGCTTCCGTCATACTTCGCAGATTCTGAATATTCTGCGAAAGATTGACTCGCGATGAACAGGCTGGTTTTCGTTCTGATCGAGGATGTATTTATCATATCTCCACCCTCCGCCAAATGTTAGAACGCCGTCATACTTATCAAAGACCAACAATCGTAGTGTTTCTTGACATCAGGGCTGCCTTCGATTCGTTGGATAGGACAGTTTTCTGGGATTGTCTGTTGAAGGGTGTGTCTGAGAAGTTTATTAACATCCTAAAAGCTCTATACACAAACACCTCAGGCAGAGTGAGGGTATACAACCACTTCTCTCCATTGTTCCATTCAAGCAGTGGGGTTAGACAGGGTTGCTCAATCTCACCATTCCTCTTCAACTTTGCCGTCGATGACATTTTGGAAACAGCTCTGATGGATGTAAGTAATGGCGGTGTGGATCTGTTGTCTGGAGAAAGACTTCTCGACCTTGAGTATGCGGATGATATTGTCTTACTGTGCGATAATGCCCAAGCCATGCAATCCGCACTTAATCAGTTGGCAATCAGTGTCCGTAGGTATGGTATGTGCTTTGCACCTTCAAAGTGCAAAGTACTTCTACAAGACTGGCAGGATTTTAATCATGTACTCACTCTGGATGGTGAGCAGATAGAAGTAGTCGAGAAGTTCGTGTATCTAGGTAGCTGCATGAGTGCTGGTGGTGGCGGAGCGATGAGATCAATGCACGTATAATGAAAGCCAGAGCGGTTTATGCCAATCTGGGCCATCTTTGGCGCCTTCGTGATGTTAGTCTAGCTGTAGAAGGTCTGATCTACAACGCGTCAGTGAGAGCAGTTTTGCTCTATGCTTGTGAAACCTGGCCTCTCCGAGTTGAGGATGTTAGAAAACTCTCTCTCCGAAGGATTGCTGACATCTAGTGGCAACACCATGTTAATAATGCAGAGGTTCGGCATCGTGTGTTCGGGCACAGCGACGACAGTTCGATTAGTGTCACTATCTTGAAACATCGATTTCAGTGGCTTGGATATGTTCCACGAATGTCATCCTAGAGAATTTCACGTCGTGCATTATTTGCCGACTCTGGAACTGGTTGGAAAAAGCGGAGATGTGGTCAGTGTATGACATGGTGTCGTGGTATGAAAGAAAGCTGTGCAGGACTGGCTTCTGTTGGTCCTTCATGACTCCCTGGCTGGGGTCCTAGAGATGGTGCAACACAGTGGTTAGAGACGTTATCAGATATGGCTCAGACTAGAAGCCAATGGCGATCCTTCTGTAACCTTATTTTACTTTCTTCATAAAAATTGGTTGCTTCTTCCTTAACTGGAAGAATTCTTTCTGATTGTACCTTTCCGTTTCCCCCATCATTAGTATTATCATTATTATTATTACACTACCTTGCACTAAGCTGTTCGTTATTGTTCTTTGTTTTTACGTTCCTTACCTTCTTTTCTTTCTCCTCGAATTCTCATCGTTATTGTGTGGCGCATATGTATTTAGTGCTTTTTTGTACCAATGTTTATGTTTTCAAATAAATAAAATAATATATAATGCTACTTATCAATGCAGCTTTCCAGGATCTTGACAACCTCTCTGCCCTTAGAGTGTATTTCGATATCAAGTACACACATCTGCACTACGCAGAATTAGCTAAAAAAAATTGAATGTTGGACAACTCTGGAAGAACTCTACCCAATATCATCATCCTAGAAAAAAGTTTAACATACGCCCTTAAACAAGGATGTAAAGGCATTAATATATCACATTAAGTGACAAAACATTCATTCAACACTGCTTTTAAAATCCACTACAAGGTCTCACCTGTTTTACGGATGAAATATTCTGATTATTTTGATCATTAATTGGAGTTGAAGTGATAAACTTGGAATGGTTGTTACGATATTTCCAACTCTTTACATCTTTTGATAAGGAAGCACCGGAAACACTTGAATTGCTTTTCGCTTCCATATACTCAAATTGTGAAGTCTAACTTTTGCGATGTCAAACCAATGAATACAAAATATATTTAAACGTAAGTTTATGGAAAATTTGGAAACTGAAAACTAACTAAACGATTGAACATGATGAGTATTCTTGTTCACCCAGACCAACTACTATTGTTTAGGAGAATATTTAATTTCACTTAAAATACCAGACTGTAGAAATTAACACGCAGTATAATGGTGTCATAGAGACATGTAACTGTACAGAGTCGGGTGTCTTAAGAACACTGAAGTATTCTACAAATAAATCGTACTCAAAGAATAGAAATTTCAACATGGAATCAACTGTACTCGATATAAGTTACATGCCAGTAAATATTAAGGCCTTCATGTATAAACTATGTTTTCATTACTGTTTGACCGTTATGATTTTGTGGTCTATCATCTAGACTGTTTTAAGTAGTGGCACTTTTATTTTTATTTAATCGTTTGGAGGATTTGATTCAGTAAATAATACGTTTATGAGATGATTTCTTAGGAAATGATTTGTCTAACGATTCTCTCACAGACTGTACAGTCATCTGGTAAGCTTACAGGTGATGTAAGAATATCTAGAAGAGCTACTCTACTCCCGGGAGTAAAATAATTATCAAACTATTAGAAAACTCGATTCAACAAAAATGATTGAGAAGTAAATTTTTAAAACCTCTTATTTATTTAAGAATTAATTTACACTTCAGATGACAAAGGCAAATAGACTACTGTATAGTAACTCGAAACATGCTTGAAATATGCTAGGGCTTACATTATCCAACTAAAGCAAGCCCTTAGATTAATCCTACTTAAAGTAACACAAAAAAGGGGTGTTCGTACCCGTAAACTTTACACTGACTTGTCGTGGTTCCTATACCTTAGTTGCATTCATAAATTTCTTAATGGGTATTGTCACCGAGATAGATCTGAAAAAGTTACAGTAACACTATACAAGCTCCTTTTCACGATATGATTGAAAAGATTAACAAATATCATATTAGATCAGAAGAAAGTATGAAGAACAAATCATACGCAACTATTTTGGGGTGTTTTAATAGTAATATTATCAATAATGGTTTTGTCTAGTACAATGTACTTCGCAAAATATGCAAGTCTCAGCAACTAAGATTAGTTTTAGTAAGCAGAACATCAAATTTAATGATAATAACAATAATTGGAAACCATAGTTCTTCAGAAAAACCCAAACTGGGGAACATAAACTACCTTACCAATACCACCAAATTTAGAACGTTAATGATGAACAATGTTGATACCGATAAATACGTGTGCTAGTCTACTAATTGTCAACTTCGATGTTAATACGACAAAGAACTACTTCTATTCTTGTCTTCAATGTTAAACTAACTAGAGTAAGAACTCCAGTTTCCTAATAGAAAATACATTTAGGTTAATGAGCTATATGTCTACTAAAATGGTCATAATTAATAAACTGAGACATTGTCAATGAACACAAATCATAGTGAAAATACATTGGAGGTTCACAAAGTAATAAGGAAATGTATTGAAAGTTGACTTTATATTTACACTAAATTCACTTTAAATCGATATTGATTTTTTCTCACAAGTTTTATTTGGGGATTTTCCATCCCCAATAGATGATCTATCCACCTAGTAATTCTTGAGTGATACATGCATCACACTCCCTATCATAGTAAAAGAACAGGAACATCACTCTGTGTGGTACCCCAGGGCTATTCCTATTGGCATTCTGCAGCTAACAAAACATACTCTGTTCTGGGGTTTCTTCCCAGAACATTAGGAAAGCTAATCTCGGAACCATTTAGAACTGATTTAAGTGTTTACTTCAAACTTCATCTGGAAAAAATTCTGCGTTGTCCCCCTACTTTAAGAAGCATAGTGTTCGCTTGGAAAGTGTTCCAAGAAGAGCAGCTAAAAAGGTGCTCTGACTAAAAAAATCCATACGCCGATCTCCAGGAAAGTCTAAGCTTTCAACCTGTGCAGTACAGAAGAATTAGGGGGGATGATTCAGATGTATAATTTCCTCATGGTCCTCTATACCAAAACAGACCAACGATACATCTTAGTACTAAACTACACCTAAGCGGATATCCACTTAAAAAAGAACATGAATGAACTCATACAGAAATATGTGCAAACTTTTCAGTGGTTATAATCAGCAAACTGTGGAAGTCTATACCAGAGACAATAATAACAACAACTTCTATAGAGTCATGAGAAAACTCGATGTTTATTCTATTTCCTTAGGGACTAAGAGTGATTACTTTGAGAGATACTCTACGGCCACTTTCATTATTAATAACTGACTTGTTTGAACTGTCAGTTTCAGAAGAAAAATGACAACCGTAAGTCTTAACTACCAAGAACGCTTTATAACCGCCCGGGTGAAGATCCCAAAAAAATAATAGTTTGCCAGTTCCGCCATGGTAATTTTGAAAGTTTAAATGTTAGTTTTCATCCCATTTAACTGCAGAATCCTGTGGAGGATGAACACGTTTCTCAGTGACAATGAATATATTCTCATTTATTAATTATTTATTTATTTTAACACATAGATATTGGTAGAAAGATGTACCAAATACATATGCGTCACACAGATCTCATTTGATATGTGTGAGGGCTGTAATACTGCCCGGGTGCCCAGACCGAAGCAGGTGGTTTTCTTAGGGGACCACACCCCGAGCCTTCGACCTAAAGGTCTAAACCACAAGGTAGTGAAGCATCGAAAGGAAATGCAGTTCCATGGTAGCCGGCGACCAAGAAATTGGTTCATACGCCATTTGTTCCCTCAGGATACTGGAGCCCATGTGCACCATTGGTTTGGGATCCGGTTAAAGCGCCGAACATTCGCTTTTCGTCCTCTCAACTTCGTAAACAACACCCCCGCCACGAGAAGGCAGTGAGTAGAACTTCCCATGCAGAGGCTGTATACGCGTAGCCGTGTGAGAGTATTTCGAGAGGGAGGGCGAACCCACCCCACTCTCGGCCATACCAGGGCATTTGGGGGCATATATTCTCATACATTATATTCAAACTGGTTGAGAATAAATGCTTTTTATCTACTCATTGTAGCAGTCCTTATCATACTTCTCCCTACTTGATATATTTTCGCTCGCACAACTATGTCCATTACATGGGTCGTGCTCCCCTAATAAAAAGTGGTACTTTTTCCTTGCTGAGTAAATCTTAGAGTTTTGATTATGTCCTAAAATGTGAAAGCTACTTTTATGCTTACTTGAACTAAATATTTAGCTACAATATCATACTAGTAATAGACTACTCGATAATGTCAGTCTAGCATTAATTCATTGGATTGTACTCATATTGTCAGTGCAGAAAAAGATTTATCAAATGGTCCCCGTTTAGTGGACCAACCAGTTCACTTGTATAACAGATTTTCCGTAAACAGCAAGAACAAAGATTCTAGCAGAATAGCGTGAATTCATTTTATTTCGTAGTTTCCTGTCAGCTGTTTACAACGCGTGATATTTAAAATCATAATTACATAGTGGGTTCGTCATTTTCACAAGTCAAAAGTCTTTTGAAAAGGAACCAAAGGCTAGGTTTAAACATGACCGAAGCCATATTAAATCCCTGATAAGCAAGCTACTCCAGGAAACAGTAACAGGAGATAGTATTCATAAGCTTCACAGGATAAGACAAAAAGTGGATTCAGAAAGTATTTAAGCAAGCAGCATTTTAAAAATTACTTTAGATTCCATCGAGGAAAAAAGCCTAATATTGGAAAATCTACGGTAAACCTGGGTTCATCACACAAATTGTTGATGGCGACAGGATTAGGTTTCAGGCTTTCAACAACCCTTCCAATTTCTTCACTAACCTCTCTCCCTCCAGTACTACAGGCATATTTACGTGCTCTACTGTTAGCCACAAGTGTACGTGAATTAGATTGACGGATACACTTTGCAAGTGTATCTGTATCCCGACACTATTATGAGGTTATCGTTCACCTTTTAAATACATTTCCATAAAAAGGGTGACATCATTTCTTAAGACCCATTGCTCACAGAATAGTATAGTGGGGCAGGTCTACATGTTGGTTTTTGCCCTGGCATCGTACGCCGTAAAGTTATTACGAATGTTATGGAGTCATCCCTAGCAAATGGCTGCTGAACAAACAATTGTTTGTCTGCAGAGATGATCTTACTCTGACGAATAATGTTGATCGTACTGATACTGATGGTCGCTTTACGTTCAGACCATGCAGCATTGTGGTAAATTGTTATTACTTCCAAATGACCACCAGACAGCCGAGGAAATGAAGGTGTCACTAAATGAAATACTCGGCTACAAAAGCATAAGTGCACACGACGATGACACGCTGCCGTGTGAAAATGAGAAACCAAAAGGGTGAATTTATGAAGTACATAATTCATTCATACATAGGGTTGTTAAACGTAAACTGAACTATTACTTGTGCACCTCTGAAGAACTCGAAGTTGCTGAAACGGAAGTTGGATGTATTCCAGTTGACTTTCTTGTTATAAACATTTTAGGTTGAAACTTTTCACCATTTGCTAAGCAATTATCTATTTAGTTCGTGTTCATATAACAGCTCATCAAAACGGTGTTTTCACCTCTAACAGCACTCAAGACCACTGTATTCATAATCAACCTACCTCTTCAATTCCTATTATTCCTCCTACATCGACTTTCAAATCTAAGCTTCCTCTTTTGGTTTCCTCCTCAAGTGTCACCATAGCCAACGATTCTAGTGCGCAAAACACCGTCCCAGGTCTACTGAAACCTCTCTCCAAGCTACACATTGGAGCCTTCAATGTACGCACAGTATGTTAAATCGGTCAGCAGGCTTCCTTGGCTGAAACCATAGAATCTCATACGATTGATGTATGCTGTGTCTCCGAAACATGCATACAGGATCCTAGTGTGGTCATTCACTTGACCTCATCTCGGCAAAACGGAGAGCCGACGAGATACACCCTCCGTGTATCTGGCGACCTGATGGCTAGTTCTCGTGGACTGGCAGGTGTAGACATAGCATTAAGCATGAGGGCGTAACAAGCGTTATTAGAGTGGATCCCCGTAAACAGTCGTCTATGCGCTGTTCAGCTAAACGGTTCCGTAAGAACTCGGGAAGATAGGGACACACGTCGTTGCTTTTTCGTCGTTTCTGTCTACGCTCCCACTGACTGCAGTTCGGATGAAGTGAAAGATGAATTTTACAGAAAGCTGTCTGAACTTCTTCAGAAAGCTAAACGTTCAGACATAGTACTCATAGCAAGTGACTTTAATGACCAGGTAGGTAGCTTAAACGAAACAGAAAGACATTTAGGTGGGTATTTTAGTATTTCGGCACAGCAAACAGATAATGGTGATCGTCTGCTGCAACTGTGCTCAGACAATCGTTTATTTTTAGCAAACACAAACTTTAAGCATAAGGAGAGACATCGTGTAACATGGCGACCCCCTGCACCAAACCAACGATGGACTCAAATAGACCATATTGCCATCAGTCATCGTTGGAGAGGGTCGATAGAATATTGTCGCTCATTCTAAAGTACCTGCCTTGACCCCGACCATGCCCTAATACGGGCACGCATCTGCTTGCGCCTCACTGGACACAAAAAAGCCACATTAAAAAGACCCATTAGAACTGAACTGAGTAACGAGAAAACCAGAAGTAGGTTTAAAAGAACAACTGAGGTCAAACTTAGGTAGTTCTGAGAACGAGGCTGACTCAGATGTTGCTTGTAAAGATATACAAGCAGCTGTGGAAACAGCAGTGACATATACTAGTGATTTAAACCACAGCGTTACAAAAAACCAATGGATTTCTTCAAGGTCTATTGCACTGATAGATTCACGCAAACTCATCCCATCAGGTTTTGAACACGATGAAGAGCGTAAAGAAATCAGATCTAGGTTAAGCAAAAGTCTAAAGAAACGATCATGAGCAGTGGTGGGCAACGAAAGCAAAACAGATGGAAAAGGCGGCGGCTATAGGGAATACAAGACAACTCTACAGACTAATAAAAGAAACTGGAATTAAAAAGTCAAGTGTAAGTCAGACTATTTCGGAAAAAAACGGCACTCTCATCTGCTCCCAGTCCAGACGTTTAGAACGATGGGAGGAACATTTTAGAGAACAGTTCAGCTGGCCTTCAGCTACTCTACAACTACCCTCCATTCCCACACAATGTGAATGGAACATTGAAGTAGGTCCCCCAACTCTAGCTGAAGTTCAAAAGGCTGTAGTTGATCTGAAACGAGGAAAGGTAGCTGGTCCAGATGGATTGGCCCCAGAGATCTTTAAGGATGGTGGTCTAGTTTTAGCGATTAGGTTGACTAATATTTTAGTTAAAAACTGGAAGTTAGACGTTATCCCATCCAACTGGTCACAATAACTTATCGTCCCAATATTTAAGAAAGGGTCTAAATCATCCTGTGACAACCATAGAGGGATTAGTTTGACTAATATAATTATCGGACACCTAACTATGACTCGTGAACTGCAAACACGAAGAATCAAGCTGACTTCAGACCTGGTCGTGGCTGCATCGACTACATATTCACCATTCGTCAGGTTCTAGAACACAGGCATACTTATCGGCGTCCGACAATGGTGGTCTTCCTTGACTTAAAAGCAGCATTTGACTCTGTTGACCGAGAGGTTCTGTGGCAGTGTCTGTCATTGAAAGGCGTACCTCAGAAGTACATAAACCATATGAAGGCTCTTTACTCGAACACTACTAGTCGAGTCAGAGCTTATGGTGAACTGTCATCCGCTTTTGCAACCTCAAGTTGTGTCCGCCAAGGCTGTCCACTTTCTCCATTTTTGTTTAACTTCATCATAGACCTACTGATGGAAATAAAGTCCTCGTCGACTGAATTTTCGGGCATCGACCTCCTACTAGGAGGTCCACTTATTGACTTAGAATATGCTGACAAAATGCAGAGTCTTTTGATAGCACTGAACAACAATGCCAGAATGTTTTGGATGCGCATCTCTCCGTCTAAATGCAAGTTATTGCTTCAGGACTGGTCTGCGTCAACACCTGAACTAAGGATAGGGAGTAAAGTAGTCGAACGCGTTGACAACTTCACTTATCTTGGAAGTCTGATCAGCCCTAATAGGTTGGTGTCTGACGAAATCTCAGCACGGATTCGAAAAGCTCGTCTGGCTTTTGTCAAATTACGTCACCTATGGTGAAGGCGAGATATCTGTCTATCAATTAAGAAACGAATATACTGCGCGGCAGTTCGTTCCGTTCTACTATACGGATGCGAAACATGGCCTTTAAGAGTAGAAGATACTCGTAAATTACTAGTATTTGACCACAGATGCCTTAGAAATATTGCGGGTATCTGCTGGGATCACCAGGTGAGTAATAGTGAGGTTACACGCAGGGTACTAGGGAATGATGGTAAATCAGTTGATCAGGTTATGAATCTTCATCGACTGAGATGGTTGGGCCACGTGTTGCGTATGCCTGAACACCGATCACCACGACGCGCAATGCTGAATAGTGCTGAGAATGGTTGGAATTAAGTTAGGGGCGGCCAAACCAAAGCGTGGCATCAGTGTTCGAGGTCACTAACTTCTGGTCTGAGACATGTTGGTAGATGCAGACTACCTGGTTGCGGTCCTCGTGACTATCGTAACCAATGGTTAAAGGCTCTTGGTGACATGGCTCGGAATTGATCACAATGGCGTTGGTGTATATGTTCTTTGTCTTCCTTCAAACTAAGAGATTAAAATCACTTCATATCTTTCTTTCTAGGAACTAATTCTTTCTTCCTGTATTATCTCTTTATATGCAATCTTTCTTCTATATATTACCACTACTAAATTAACTACTTCTATGAATCTGGTGTTCATCTTGTTGTGCTAATGCGGTATGGCAACTTGGACCGATGCATATACGTGCCTGGTCCTACGTTGGAGCTGACTGACTGTTTTCAACACCGCTTCCACCTTCTTCTGCGGCTGTTAGTAACCCGTAAGTTGCAGTAATTGTAAAGATTATAACAGTAGGTTGGACAATGACGACAGCAAAATGATTCTGAAAGCAATCGCTGATCTGTCTAGCAAGATCGAGAAACTGACTGCTTACATCGAAATCTTATCTATCGTTGTGAAAAACAAGTACAGTGGCAGCATAGACACTTCGAGTTGCGCATTCCCATTGAAAACACCTAAAGACATGCGTACTAATAAAGCTGTATTTGAACAACAAAAGTTCCGTGACCAGTTCTTAAGTTGTGACAGCTGTTTATAAAATTTCAGGTGACCAGATTGCATGTGATAATCTTCGGAAGTCAACAAAATCATGTCTAGCCTACGTGTTGATGTTCACTGTGGCACTCGATCCCAGTACCGTTCGACTCAAACGCCATCGCGTTATCCACTTCGCTATTGAGTCCTAAATAAATAAGATGTCGCTGCCAGCATTCGAACCCCGGCTTGTGCGGCCACAACGCAATGTCCTAACCGCTAGACCACAGCGACGACGAGGAGGACGTGTGCCCCCAAATGCCCTGGCACAGCCGAGAGTGGGGAGAGTCCGCTCACCCTCTCGAAATGCTCACATGGCCACGCGTATATAGCCACTGCCAGGGAAGTCCTACTCACTGTCTTGTCGTGGCGTGAGTGTTGTTTACGAAGTTGAGAGGACGAAGAGCGAATGTCCGGCACTCTAATCGTGTTGGTGGACATGGAGTGTCCACCTAAGGAAGATGGAAAATCCTGATTCCAAACCAATGGTGCACATGGGCTCCAGTATCCTGAAGGAACAAATGGCGTATAAACCAATCGTTGATCACCGGCTACCATAGGATTGCATCTCCTTATGATGCTCCACTGCCTTATGGATCAGACCTCTAGGTCTAAGGCTTGGGGTGTGACCCCCCAAGAAAACCACCTACTTCGGTTTGGGTATCCGGGCAGTATCACAGCATTCACACAAATCAAATGAGATTTGCGTGGCACATATGTATTTGGTGCCTCCTTGTATCAATATCTATGTGTTCAAATAATAACAATTAATAATAATAATAATAATAATAATAATAATAATAATAATAATAATAATAATAATATAAATAATAATAATAATAAAATAGCCTACGTGTTGACACCCCAACTAGCAATAACTTATACCTTATGTGGAACTAAAAGTAAAATTGGTATAAGTAGTTACAGATTTTACAGTACAATTCGCAGTAAATTAACATAAGTTTTTATATATTTACAGATGTTCTGTGTTCCAATCCCAATGTGCCGCCTGTCTAGAAAACCAAATAATACACGCGATGGATATTGCGAGCCAGGCTTTCTCGTACGACTCAAGAGATGAAGTGGATAAGCGTCGATGGTGGTTCAAAAAAAGGGTGAGTTAAATGCACGTGCGATCTATAATCGAATATTTTTTTAGTTGCTGGTAAATATTTATCTTTATACTATTCTTTCCTATCTTATTTTCAGCTGGTTTCGCAAGTGCTCGCAAACCTAACTGTAAGTTTATAATTCAGCTAATATTTTTATACTAACATTGCTAAGTAATGCAGGTTCCACATTGCACTATGGATTCCAGGTTGCATGATTGCTAAAGCATACGGAAGTCGTTTGTCTACTATTAACAATTTGGATATTTTGATACTGCGTTTGTAATGGAGAAGAAAAATGTTTGTTTTCTTATTGTAGAACACTGTGAACGACAGTCCAACTTCCGTTTGATGTACCCAACGGAAACCCAGTGGCAGTTGTTAAGATTAGGAAGACGTAAATTATGAGCGGAAAATCTATTTGTAATTTTTTGAACTTCAATAAACAATCTCATTTATAACACGTCTTTTAACTATAGTAATGCTTATCTATCGAGTTCGTCATTAAAAATGCTAGCAAGATAGGATTACTTCGATAAGGTGAATAAACTTACTGCATGTTGACGCTTATCTCAAAATCGTGCAGTCAATTCGGCGGAAAACGTTCATAAAACCTCGGTGAATGTGCGACAACAGACAATTTCTTGTTAGCAATTAAGGCGTTAATGTTTTTCAATAGCGTTCACTTTGCGAAGTTAACTGAAGAAAACGAAGTAAGAATATATACGTAGTAAATTATGTATACCTGTCATTAATTCCGCATGCTTTCGCGAAAAATGGGTAATCATGGAGTTTTTCTGAAGTTCAGAAAAGTATGAGGGAGAACAAAAAATTGTGAATATCCCTGAAATGCGAACAAATATTGGGGTTTTAGCACATAACATAGACGGGTTTCCCCAAAGTCTTCAAACATTCTAGGAAAGTTTGGGGAAAACCATCAGTAATTCTATGAACCTCCTAAACCGGGCTACGGTCCTGACTAATTTCATCCACTCAGAGGAATGAGAAAGAATAGGGGAATTGTCATACTTTGTGCTACTCAAATTAACCATAGCAGTTGTTTCTTAAACTAGTTTGGAAACTACAATTCTAAACAAATATCGGATGATTGAACGAAGTCACTTGGCTATACATATTGTGGTTAATCCTAGGATCATAAGTATCGTTTCTGCAGATATTCTGGTGCCTCGTCGAAGAAAGTCAAGCTCGAATCTGATTGGGGTCAATGGATTCAAGTAAAATGACGAGTCCCTTTTGACAAAGTAAGTGCCTTTTGATATCCTTATGTCATGGTTCAAACTTAAATAGGGGTAATTACAATAATAGTGACGCTAGTTTTGATTCGATAGTAGATAACCGTAGCTGCTATCTTGACGTGATGGTCGGGCTTGCCTATCGTGATGAACCAACCGAGCTATATTGGCTGGAACATATATTCCTGCAGGTTTCACCATGCCAGGCAGGGTCACTGGAGAACAGTAAGATTAAAAGCAGCAACTCAAGATCTGAAGGTGAAGTCGTACTGCTGACTGCAGAGGGGTGTAACAGCAGTAAGGTGTTTCCCTCGGGCAACCAGCATTTGCAGCGATCTTATGGTTTCGTGGCTCAAAGAACAGATAATGGCGACCGTCTGTTGCAGCTATGCTCAGATAACCACCTGTTTCTAGCAAATACTAAATTTAAGCATAAGGAAAAGCATCTTTTGACATGACGACCCCCGAATTCGTCCCAAAGTTGGACCCAAATAGATCACATCGCTATCAGTCACCGATGGAGGGGCTCGATAGAAGACTGTCGCTTATTCTAGAGCACATGCTTAGACTCAGATCATGCTCTAGTACGAGCGCGTATTTGTCTACGTCTTACTGGACGTAGGAAACATGCTGCAAGGAAACCCCTTAGGGTCCTACTTAATGATAGTCAAGCTAAGAGTATATTACAGGAACAACTAGAAAAACAGTTAGGCAGCCATGCATGTGATGCCAACCCCGAAGCAGCGTGGAATGATATCCGAAAAGCTGTAGAAACAGCAGTGATGTCTGCAAGTACGGTAAACCATAAGGTTAGGGAGAAACACTGGATCTCAGCAGCATCTACCGCACTGATAGATGCTTGAAAACTCATTACATCTGGCTCTGAACATAATGAAGAGCGGAGTCAGCTTAAGCGTAAGCTGACTAGAAGCCTACGCAAAGATCGTGAACAGTGGTGGGTAGCGAAAGCAAGAGAGATGGAAAAGGCAGCGGCAATAGGTAACAGCAGGCAACTGTTCAGACATGTTAAGGAAACCGGTATTAGGAACCCAACTGTTAGCGAAACAATCGCAGAGAAAGATGGACATATTATTCATTCTCAATCCAGGAGATTGGATCGATGGGCAGAATACTTTAGGGATCAGTTCAACTGGCCTTCAGCCACACTTCGGTTTCCCACGATCTCCAATCTACCTGAATGGCGAATTAATGTAAGTCCTCCGACTCTTTACGAAGTTGAAAAAGCTATAGGAAATCTGAAGCGTGGGAGAGCAGCAGGCCCTGACAGGTTTACCCCTGATATTTTTAAGGATGGTGGTCCAGTATTAGCAGCGAGATTGACTGAGGTCTTAGGTAGAATCTGGGAACTGGACGTAATCCCATCTGACTGGTCTCAATCATTGATTGTGCCAGTCTATAAGGACAAAAGTCCTCTTGTGACAATCACAGAGGAGTCAGTTTGACTAATATAGTGTCTAAAATATTAGCTTCAATATTACTTCGACGTCTAACCAAAGCTCGTGAAGAGCAGACTAGAGAAAACCAGGCTGGTCTTCGAGTTGGACGTGGTTGTGTAGACCAGATAAGTTTTCAGAGGTGTCTCGGGGGGTCAAGAAGAGGAGGTAAAATTACTACAATTCAGTGATGCTTCGGAGATCGGTTATGGAGCAGCTGCTTATGCATGGGTTATTTATCTGCATAAAACACCATACTGTGTTCTGTTATATAGCACGTCTAGGTTGGCATCTATCAAACAAATCACTTTACTGAGATTTCGGAAGGGAGCAACGATGTTAAGTGTGAGGATGAGTAAAGACTTAAGGAGGATTCTTCCTAATTTTTTTTCTGTAAAGTGTACTTTCTTACAGATTCAACGTGTTGAATTACATTGATACTGAAAGTCGGTACAGTATCTATAAAGCTAATCGCTTTGTTGTTGTGCATCAATACACGAAGTTTGAACGACGATGTTATACAAGGTCGTCACGTGACAACCTTCTGTAAAGAACACAGCTGATTGGACCTCGAGAGGTATTCAAGAAATGATCGATTTTGAATCTTGATTTGAATGTCCCACCTTACCGGATAGCGGTTCTCCAAGAATGATGACTAACTGTCCCGAACCTACTCCTGAAAATAGAGTTTAGGAAAGCAACTGCTATGGTTAACTTGAATAGCACGAAGTATGGCAATTCCCCTACTCTTTCCCATTACTCCGAGTGGATGAAACTATTCAAAGCCGTAGGCTGGTTTAGATGTATAGAATTCTTGATGGTTCTAAGCTTACCGAGTCTTGAGTTTCAGGGGTTTTGTACCATTTCCCCAAAATAGGGAGATTAGGTATGTCTACCTGTGTTTATCAAAAGCAAGTAAAATCCGTGTCCAAAAAAAGGATTTTACACGTTAAATTTATTAAATACTGTGAGTTCATGTAGCCAGACGATGGAATTTAAACGAGTATATTCGTATACTCAATCTATAGATTGAGTACTATAGTATCCCTGAATACTTTCACAGCTTAATTAGCTCTAGGTGGGTATACTTACTGGTATAAAATTCATTTAAAAGCTCCAACATGGTAAAAATTTTAAGTGTTACAATGCAAACAAAATATACACCTTAGCACAAACCGTCACAATCTTCTAAGTAACTCAGATATAGTATTGCCGCTAAAAACCTTGAAATGGCAACTTAAACTTCCAGTATTAGTAATTATTAATTCAGTTTATTCCAGCCCTGTGCTTAAAGATTTTGCAAAAATTCACCACTATCAAGCATCTTTAAAAAATTTCGTAGTGAAACTACATTTTATGGACGAACTACAAAATCATCTCCAGCTCGCTGTTTGATGAAAACACGTTCAAATGGTTCAAATGGTTGTGGACAGAATAGAAGAAGCTTTTGCTTAACAGCTTTCCGTGTCTAGTAGCAGGGGATCACCAGTACTTCCAGGCAGGAACCTAGGTATATTAGCGATAAAAGAGAAAAAAGTTTGTAAATCATAGTAAGATACTATCCTTAGTCCTTAAGAACAGATCAAGTTTCCTCTTAAAGGACTCCTGGGAAGTCGCTTGGACTAGCTCAGCCGGCAGTGAACTCCAGCATTTGACAACTCTTAAGGAGTAAAAGTTGTGCCTACAGTCCGTTCTGCTACGTTGTATCTCTAATTCCTGGGTGTAACTCCTTAGGTTAGTATTGGGACTGAGCTTAAGTATGTATTTAATGGGGTGTCCAGAAGTGTTAAGGACACTATAAGCCATCAGAAGGTCACCTCTAAGACGCCTATACTCTAATGGGTAAAGGTTAAGTGATTGGAGGCGCCCTTAATTTAGTTTGAATTTAAGTCCCCGGACTGATTTCGTGGGTTGCCGTTGGATACGCTCCAGAGTGTCCTTATCCTTTTGGAGTGTAGAAGTAAATACTATGTTTCCGTACTCTAAATAGGGACGAATAAAACTGTTGAAGATTATGTGGAAAGTCTTTCCGTCAAACTGGCCAAGAATATGCCTCAATGTTACCAGTGCAAGGTTTTCTCGAAAAGCATTTTTGTCACAGTTAGCGTAAAACTTCAAATCGTATGGCACCAGGACTCCTAAATCTTTTTCGACTCGGGGTACCATTAGAGAGTTTTCCAAGTTGTAACTTTAGTCTGAGACATGTCGCGGATGGACTACTTTACACTTTAAAGTGTTAAAGGTGAGTCCGTTATCGTCTGCCCGATTTTGAAGTCGAGTCAGATTCTCCTGAAGTGCATGTATATCGTCTTGGTTGCGTGTCTCTCTCCGAAAATTCATGTCATCAGCAAAAAGTAATAAGTCTGACGATACCAGTTGAGGAAGATCATTTACATAAGTCAAGAAGAGAAGAGGTCCCAGTACTGAGCCCTGGTGGACCCCACTAGGACATTTCATAGTTTGAGACAAATTAAAGTTGACCCTGACCATAAAATTCCATTTTTCATATCTGAAATAAGCTAATCAATTAGAGGTGGTCTGATACCCAACTGTTTAAGCTTATTAATAAGACATATATGGTTAACCCTATCAAAAGCTTTTGAGAAATCAAGGTAAATTATATCAACCTTCCCCTTGCGATCGAGGATGGCTGTCCATCTATCCACCGCAGTCAGCAAGTTGATTATGCAAAAGTAACCGTTCCTGAAATCATGTTGTTGAAGCGAAAGGAAATTAAAGGACAGTAATTAGCCATGTATACCATCGCTTATCAGGGACTCCGTGATTTTCGAAGGTATAGAGAGAAGAGCCACCGGTCGGTAACTTGAAGGCTTGCTGCGTCGACCTTCTTTGAAAATTGGTGTGATATGAGCCAGATTCCAATTTTCCGGTAGTTTGCCTCGGCTTAGCGATTGTGAGAACATCGCTTTGTGTATATATGAAATTTCCATTGCGTTTATCGTACCAGAGAATAGACTTTAATTCATACAAAAGGCTCTTAACGCTATTTGGGTTAGCGAAGTACTTTTTCACACTTTTTACTTCAGATTTTCGTTGGCCTGGAAGACGTGGGAAGCAGGAGAGGAGCTGATATAGCTTCATATCACCACCTGGTTGTGGCCAAGATGAAACTGAAGCTAAAGTAGCATTGGACAACCGGATAAATGTCATCATAAAGGTTCAACACAGTTTTCCTTTGAAATACTGACAAACCCAATCTATTCGAGATAACTCTCAACAACAGGTTCTAAGTCTTGCAGGTCTACACAAAGAAGATAAAATTACTATGGAGAAAAACTGGAAAGGGATCAAATAAGCACTAATTTCAGTGTGTCAGGAGGTGATGGACCTCAACAAGCATCATCATAAGGAATTGATCTCCATTGAACCACGGGCAAGAATCAAGAAAGAAAGAACAAATAGATGGCAATTAACAATAGCCGAACAAGAACAGACAAAACCAAGGCATAAGCTGAATACACAGAAGCAAACAAGCAAATGAAGAGGAGCACTAGAGCCGACAGGCGGAAACACGTGAAGGAGCTAGCGATAACAACGGAAAAATTTGTGACAGAATGAAATATGAAACAAATATATGAAATAACGAGCTGGAAGGAAAATATAGTAAAACAGAGCAACCAGTCAAGGACAAGGAAGGCGAGCCAATCACTGAGATCATCGAACAATGGAACAGATAATTAGGACAATTCGCAGAGGTCTTGAATAGACCGGCCTTACCAAAACCACCGGATATAGAAGTAGAAAACTTAGACTTTCCTGTATATGTTTCCCCACCAACAATTGAAGGGGTCAGGGTGACCATTAGACAAATCAAAGTGGTAGAGTAGTAGGGGAAGATATCATGCCCGCTGAAGCAATGAAATCAGACATAAAATTAACTGTAAGTATGCTTTACGTTCTATTCAGGGAGAATTGGGAGGAAGAACAATTACCGATGGACTTGAAAAAAGGATACCTCAACATGATATTAAAGAAAGGGGTTCTGAGCAAATTTGGAAACTATATAAGAATCAAACCACTATCGGTGCAAGGAAAGGTTTTCAACAGTGTTACTGAACAAGATGAAAAATTTGATAGACGCCCAACTTTGTGACCAACAGGCTTTATTCCATAAGGATTGGTGGTGCCTAGACCGAATTGCGACACTATAGGTCATCACTGAACAACCAGTTGAGTGGAACTCACAACTTTGCGTCAACCTGGTTGATTATAAGAAATCGTTTAATAGTGTGGATAAGAGAACCCCGTATGACATTCTTCGACACTATGGAGTACCTGAGAAGATCTTAACATCATCCGGAATTCATATGACAGGCTACATTGAAATGTAGTGCATTGAGGACAGCTGACAGATGCATTCCAAGTAAAGACAGAAAACAGGCAAGGGTTCCTACTCTCACCCTTTCTCTTTCTTCTGATGGAACACCGGATTATGAAGACCTCTACATGTGACGAGAAGCACGGAATTCAGTGGAAATCCCCAAATCAACTGGAAGATTTTACTTTGAAGTCGACCTGGCCCTTCTATTTCATACACACCAACAAATGCAGATGAAGACCACTAGTGTAGCAGAAGCCTCGGCACCATTAAGCCTCAACATACACAACGGAAAAAGCAAGATCCTCAAACACAACATGGAGAACACCAACTCAATCACACTTGATGGCGAAACTCTAGAAGGCGTGAAGTCAGTCACGTACCTGATTTGTAGCACTAGCGATGAACAAGGAGGATCGGATGAAGACGTAAAGTCAATGATTGGCAAAGTAAGGACAGCATTCTTATAATTGAAAAACATGTGGAACTGAAAACAACTGTCTGCAAGCCAACATCAAAGTCAGAATCTTTAATACGAATATCAAGACAATCCTACTCTACGGAGCCGAGACTTCGAAAACCAATACAACCATCATCAAAAAGGTACGGGTATTCATAAACAATTGTCTACGAGAGATGTTGAATGTCCACTGACCGGATACCACCAGTAACAGCCTACTGTGGGAGAGAACAAACCAGCTTTCAGCTGAACATGAATTAAGAAAAGATGTTGGAGATAAGTTAGGAAATACATTTCAGAAATCACCAAAATGCATCATGAACAAGCCCCACTTTGGAATCCTAAGAGGAAGAAGAAAAGAGGATAACTGAGGAACACATTGCGTAGGGAATTGGAAGTAGACATTAAAATAATGAGTAACAACTGTTGTTTTAACCCACCCTACAACCCTTTTTATATTTGCATTTCACGTCTAAACAATTTACTACATCCTACTACTTTAGTAACATACACTCTTAAAGCTTTTCTGGTTGTGTATTTCCGACTGCAGATTGCACAAATGGCGGCCAATGTGCACGCGTTTTTTATAGGCTCAGCGTCTCTTGAACACCCATGTTTAAAATAACTAACTGTGAAATGGGTTAGACTACGATGAATTAGTGTTTTCGGCTTTCAATCGTGCCATCTCTACTTCACAAATAGCTACTGAAACACTTTCGTTAATTTTCCTTAAAACTACTACCTTCGAATCATTAGAGTCGTCCGTTCTACCCGTTTTGAGTGGTTGAATAGTTTTTCTTATTTCATATCGTACAGTTCCGTCAACCTCGTTCTCAATGTTTACTAAGAGTACACTTCCATTGGTTTGCAGTTTTCTTCCGATAGTACAGAAGTTTCAAGACTCTGTATATGAGAATCCCTTTAACAAGACAGTGTCCTCAAGATAATAACTATGGATCAGATATTTAATAATCTTTATGCGCAGCCGGCAATGGGTCGGCACACATTTTATGGAACCGCCTCTTAAGTTGTCACATTGGATGGAATCCTAGACATAATAAGACACAATGATCAATAGCATCTGCGACTTCTAAAGATCATTTTAAGACAAAGAACTACAAAAATTGAAAAGCGATAAGTATTACCATGGCCAATATGAAAGATTAACAAGACTGTAACTTTAACTAGGTATGGCCAAAGAAACGTAACACCGAAAATTATATCAAATCTAACTCTGAGTAAAAAAGGCAACTTCTAATACACCAGAAAACCAAACCTTTTATCTAATGAAAGCTGAAGTAACAAACGTGCAAAAAATACTGATCGCTCAGTGAGCACATAGAATTCACTTACGTTTAGTAAGGAAAGCGACTGACAATAATTAAAAAAAAATTAAGCACAAAATTACGGCAAGTCGATAATCGAAACTAGAAAC